ACCCATTCCATGGCATGTATAAACCCATTTAATAATAGCCATAGCTATGCTAAAGCTGCCATTTATCAAGAACATTCTATGTGGCCGACATAGATTATTAGGTTTTTAAGTTACCTTATGTGTTTGCTTTCAATGCTCGAAAGAACCCCATGAAGCAGGTTTTAAAACAGGCTCACAAGGAATAAGAAATTTGCCCCAGAACACACACTAATAAATGCTTCAGAGAACCTAGATACAATTCCTGTCCTCTGGACTCCAGAGGCTTGATTCCTTCCAGCACACTCTTGGTTGTTCTTATCAGTCCCTGAAGGAATCCTTATGCATACTCTCTACCGATCCCAGTATCTATCCCCTTCTCTTCGCAGAAGACTGTAGCATCTTAGAAGCTAACTGTACAAATACCAATGGTGCGGTTTTAAGAAAATGAATTTACTATTTAGAACTATGGAAATACTCTCTTGAGGATGATAATATTTTGAAATTACTACCTTAATGTTTCCAACCGTCCCTTGGTGGCCTTGAAAAGTTCATATGTATTATGGACTTGGCCAAGCCTTGTGATAGTACAGCCCACCCCAGGCCACATTCCATGACTCTTGACTTCTGTTCCCGGGTCACAAGGGGTGCACAGAGCCTCTGGCACTACAGTAGAGCTGTCCTAGGTCACATCCCAGCACCAGCCGTATGATGAGACTCTCCTGTGCCTAGGATCAGTGAGTAGCTTCAGATCAGGGAGAGTCAGGTTAAGTAGCAATAGTAGAACTTAGAGTTCTTTGAATCATTTAGATCATACAGACTGGCTATTATTTAGAGCAAATCATTTTGCATGCTTGTTTCCAATTGACCTTTCATTCACCTGGTGAAGATCCAAGATAAAAGTATTGGCTTGAATTTCATGCCACTATCCCTAGATAATTTTTCTCCGTATGTATAGATGATTCCCGTTGACTTTTATCATTCCCAGGGGAGAAGGCAAGCTGTAGGACTCAGTCTGCTGATAAGATTCTCATCTCTAGACTAGAAGGAGTGTGAGGCCCTATGAAGACTGATAAGGAATATGAAACCACCGAGCAAGTCCATACGTAGAATTCTCCAGAATTCTACTCTGGAATCAAGCCCATAGATCCTCGGAGGACACGGGATTGACTCTTTCATGGTCTCTAATTCAGGCTTAGAAAACAAAACAAAACAAAAAACAGAACATAGTCCTGTATGTCATGGGATAGGCAAGGGCCTTAGAAGGGATTCTTGGCCCCAAGACAACTGGAGAATGAAAAATACTTGAATCTCTTGGCCTTTCTGAGACTTGAAGGAAGAAAATAAGGCCAAGTCATAAAAGGACCTTAAGTCAGTAGACCAGTGTGGTAGGACCACTGATCACCCAAGGACAGACTTAACAGAAGCCTCCAGTGACTACCTAGCCCCAGCTCTCATCACAGTGTCCCTGTTCTTTGCTCAGAGTACCTTCTCATCCGCTCTGTGCTCACTTGTACAGTTAGGCCCCTGCTGCTAGCCAGGCAAGAACATCAGACCTGCCGTTCTCAAGGGGTCCTGATGTGAAGCTGAGGTTTCCGCGGGGTCCTTAGCTGATGTTCTACCTGCAGGAAGGTCTAGATTTCTGAGAATCCACGAGCCCCAGACTCACCCTTACAAGGGTGACCCTCTGGGACCCCTGTGTCTCTATTGAATGATAAGCACAAGCCATTTCAGGACAGATCAACAGGCCAAACTGCATTGCCCCAGCCTTTCTCGGGCTACTCAAGCCTTCACATCTGTAGCAGGATATTTTTGGCTTCCTGACATGCTGAGAGATTAACGTTACCTACCATGTTGTTAGCTGACCAGTGCAAAGTCTTGGGAACACAGGGTATTTATCCATGCCCTTGGAATAAAAGTGATATATTCTCAAACTTCTTGCCTTTAAAAAGTCACCTAAGCCTTTATTCATTCATACATGCATGCATGCATCCAGTGGGTCATTTGCTAATTTGTTCAGCAAACACTGAATACTGATTCTAACCAGCCAGCCTCTTGGGGAATACGGAACATACGGAACCATTTTCGATTGTAATCCATTCCTCCAAAACACTGCGACTTTCTCTAATACATAGCTTCCTATTGTTAAGTCAAACTTATGCCTATTAAGGTTTTAAAAATTAAAATAAAGACGTCATTTCGTAGAAATCAGCATTGAGGAATTAGCTAATTCATTTCCGCATTTACAAAATAATTAGTAATTAACCTGGCCTTGAGGTTTTTGTAAGTTTTGTGACATTTTGACATTTAGACAATTATGATACTTTTCTGTGGCATCAATTACACTGTAATAAGCCCCTGGCAAATAACCATATGGTGACTTCTGATGTAAAGAGCGGAAACTATCAAGTAACCTTGTGTTGTTAAAATTCCTGATCCACGTTAACTACCCGTTACCATTTAGGTTGTGAAATCTGTGGTTTTGGTATATAAGTGCCCGGATTAAATAACATTAATGTGTAATTACATGAACATATACCATCTAGCTTTGTTAAATTGCAGTACAATCATTATCACTGAATGTAAAGTGATACCAATTAAACCTTCCTTTAAAACACCACAAATTAAGATTTAACTACTGGAGAAAAGCTCGCATGTAAAGTTATGGTATACCATGGATAGAATATCCCTGAGTCCTTTCAGAGATGTAATAGCATTTATAAAATTAAAAACATCTTTTCCCTTTATCCCTGGCAGTACCTGTATGTTATTTAGTAAAGTTCCAAACAGACACCACTTAATTCTTAAAAGATAAGTGTCAACAAGGTCAGCCTTTGAAGTGCTGACACAAAGACAAATTATGATATCTTATGTTCATATAGCGTAAGTATAGTGAGAAATGGTAAAATATAGTAAAAAATCGTGAGATTGGCACTGGAATGGAATTTGGGATAAGAAACAACCTGATACTGAAGCTAAAGTTAGTTCTTAAATTATGGAATTTTGTGGATCAAAAACCACTGGGTGTTGGCCACTTGGTGTCATTCAACCTAATAAAATAGTAGCCATTAAACTGCTTATAATGTCACAGCGTATATCGATCCCTCGTGTATTCTGACCCCACTGGTTACCAACTGAGTCAAAGTTACTTAAATTCTGAGCCTCAGTTTTCTCTTCAGGAACACTGAGTGTAGCTACACTCAGGACTGTCGTTAAAGATTAAGTGAATACAACAGAGTCAAAGCACTCAGCACAGTGCTTTTTACAAGACCAGCATTAACAAAAGTGCTTCCCCTCTCTCTCACCTCCCCACCTCGAATCTTTGATGCTGCTTCTTAAATCAGTGCTCGTACCAGGAACTAATGGTTTAGATCTATTGGCTCAAGGTCTAAACTACATCACGCAAATAAGAATTTAAGCAAATGTACAATTTTGACACGGAGCACTAACGTGTTTTTCAGGCAAGAGATCTAGACTATAGTCAGGGAGAGTTGGTAACGGACGTTTGAACTCTCAGAGCTGGTGATTTTTTAGCAGAGCTTCAGATATCTAAGGAGACTGATCTGCAAAGATGAATCCAGTCTTGCCTTCATCTGTGTCTGGTGTCTAACCTACACGTGCCTCTACGTGACCAGGTCTGAATTCCAGATGTCCCCAGTAGCGCTCCGTTTCATCCTGCCTTCTGACGGCACCTAAACAAATATAGTAAAACTTGTACAACATTTAGCAAGTGCAACTTGAAGATTTTCTTTCTGTTAGACAAATAGACGCCATCTGGAAAAAATAACCCCAGGCGCTTGGACGCAGGAGCATGAAGCTTATTGGCTGAATACCCGATGAATACCTTACATTACTTTCTTTGGCTCCTACCCTCGGCCTGCTCATTTCAAATCTTGCACACTTCAGCAGGCCCTGTGCTGTCAGAAAAGCAAGGCCTGTTACCCGTGCACTCAAACACTATGAAGACATGCTTAGTTTGAAAGATAGGCTTGCAAGAATGAACCAGACCCAGATCATTTCCTCCTCATCATAACACCTGCTCCATAAAGGACTGCTAGATACCACTTTGCCTTGATATTAATTGGAAACAATATTTTACTATCCGGTCTCCCCTCATATTTTCAATGGCTGCCACATTCTGTTTTAAACAGGAGTGTCCTCTCTCTCAAGCTGCTTTCCAAAAGGAAAAGCCCTACATATGTTATTTGTTTACTGATTGAATTATTCGTATTCCTACATTTTATTTCACTCCTTATTTGTATTATATTCCTAAATTCGTATTATAACAATGTTAGTGTGATTTTTCTCTCTCACATTAGCTGAACTGAATCTAAAGGGCTGTAATATTAGTTATTAGCTTTTAGAGGAAAATCAAAGAAATGGGAGTCATCAGAAATCAAGAGAACAATCTTCACTTTATTTTGATGGTATAATCTTCGTGATAAAAATAGCTTTTAAAGGCTTTTTTCCTCCGTATCAAACTTTCTATGCAACCACACTTACGAGACATGTTTAAGTTCCTTCTTTGCTAATTATTTTTTCTTTTGCCAGTTGTAAACATGCAGCTTTTCAAAGCTCTAAAGCGATTTTCCCAGAACTTCTGGAATTCATTTTATGACATCTCATGATCTGAGCAGCGGGAAGTCCTATGAAACATGTTTGAGTGCACATTAATTTTATAAATTGCCTGCCTTCCCTACAATTCCCATGAAAACGGTATTCAGTTAGATTAAAACTCTTGGAGAAGTTTAATGGGAACTTTGAAATCTGTTTGAGTTCAGTTTCTTGGAAAAATAAAACTGCCTGATGGAAGTACTTTTTATACAAGAAGCGGATATGCCTTTGAGGCAATTTTTTTCCATGAATAATAGTGAAATTACAGCAGGATAATCTGCGTGTTTGCAATGTCTTTGCCAAATCCAGAATGCTGCTTGTAATATCGTCTGAAAGGGTCATGGGTATTTGTTCCCGGTGATGGAGAAGAAGGGAATGATAATTTGCCACAATGTCATTTGTCTTTTCAGTCTTACCCTGGTCCAAGCCTGGAAAGTGAAGACTTCAACATTCCGCCAATCACCCCTCCCTCCCTCCCTGACCACTCGCTGGTGCACGTGAATGAGGTCGAAACCGGCTACCACTCTCTGTGTCACCCGATGAACCATAATGGCCTGCTACCATTCCATCCGCAAAACATGGACCTACCTGAAATCACCGTCTCCAATTTGCTGGGACAGGATGGCGCACTGCTTACTAACTCCATTTCTGTGGTAAGAATCCGCTTACCAATTTGTTGTGGGGGCCAGGGCCAGGGAGGGTGGGGTAAGGGTGGGGAGTGAGGGATATGGCGAAGGTAAGGTCGACTTTAATGCAAAGCTTTAAACTGGAGTAACACAGGGCTCTGAAACTAAGCATGTGTTTTTAGCTATGGAGAATGTTCTCCATACGGTCCTTAATTCAGGGGGGAAAAAAAATCAATGAATTATATGTTTGATCACTTACATTTATAACCCAAAGTTCTAAATACTGTTTGACACTGAATGCTCAGTCATAAAGTTGATAGACTTCTCACCGCAAGTCAGAACCTTGCATCTTCTGAACAGGGACTGCTTTTAAACTGGATTTCATTTTATGGGAAGCAAGAAAACAATTTTCCTTTTTTATTTTGGAGGTACAATTCTAGTGATTAAAAATTTATCTCCACTAAAGTGTTTCAATCTATTGGACGCTTTGTCCCTATGAGTCTTCAAAAGTTCTATACTTCTCAAAGTTAGTAGGAATGTGTATCCCCTAGAAAACTAGCAAAAAATCCATGTCCGGCCTCTACCCGGAAGTCCAAGGATCTGTATTTTTAACAGGCATCCCATGTTTGAGAAACACTAACTTACCATCAAACCATCCCTTCTGATTTTTATGTCATCTTAACCCTTAATTTCTCGGTCTATATCTCGGTAGTGAAAAATATCTTCAGTAGTACATGGCCAAGGACAGAGCTCTTTACCATGTCATCAGCCTCTCCCTGAGGTTAACATTGACTTTTAATTAGCGCTCTTTGGTTTCCGTTGTTCAATCACTTAACAGCACAAGCAACTCGATTGTCACTTGGGTAAGTCACTGAACAGTGCTGTCATGTTCACAATGAATAAATTGATGAATTTGCTCATATTATATTGTTTCTGATAGGCGCCATTCTCATGATCACTTATCTAAATCATTTGGGGATATATCTCTAACTTGAGTGGTTCTACAAGGTTTTCCTGTTAATCATGAATGTGAAGGGCAGGGGTTGGCGGGCAGTGGGGGTGGGGGAAGAGTCGAAAGAAACCATGCAGTATTTTTCGAAGAATGAAGCCCAGAGCCTAATGCCATGATCGTGTCTAGATTCTCCTAAGAACTGGCAGCTAGCGCAGTGGCCAAGAGAGGAGAACTCGTTCACAGCCCTAATAGAGGCAGAAAACTGCTGCCCTCCACTTTCTAGATTATCTTGTACTCTTATAGGTTTGTCCTAAGAGTGTGCGTGTTAACTATGGCTTGAGAAAAGATAAAGTGTTTTTTAAACAAACTTGCTACATTTGTAGATCTGAATAGCGTCCTTCAAAGTGGTCACCTTGAGAAGTCTCATGTCTATTCCTCTCTGGGGCTAGGCCTTCAGACCCACGTCATGAGTCAGTCAGGCATCCAGGCGACGCTTTCCTAGACAACCACCTATTCTTTCAGAAGGAGAAGAAGAGGGGCGCCTGGGTGGCTCAGTCCATTAAGTGTCTGACTTCAGCTCAGGTCAGGATCTCACGGATTGTGAGTTCAAACCTCATGTTGGGCTCTGTGCTGATAGCTTGGAGACTGCTTCAGATTCTGTGTCTGTGCCACCTCCCCCCCATGCTCATGCTCTGTCTCTCAATAAATAAACATTAAAAGAATTTTTTAAAAAGAGAGAGGGAGAAGAGGAATACATATAGTGTGTACAGTACAAGTCAGTCCTCAGAGCTTTCTCAGTGTGATTGAAGTGGGGCCATAGAAGGGATAATGAGATGTTCAGTTATGTAATTTAAGCCTCGAAACCCTTTTTCCTTTACACTGTTTGCCTTCTTAGCATTCCTAGCACCCCCTCAATAGACCATTCACTGATTAAGAGATGCTTCTTCGATATATATGTGCATACATACGTTGTACATACGTACATACGTACGAGCATATATTCTCATTGTATACATGTCAAGGATTTCTCCAGAGCTGCCATAATGGCTGTCACGCCCTCCTTAAATGGCGTGCTCAGAACTGGACCTGATCACAGCATGAAATACACCACTTTCCAGGCCCTTCCTCCCCTGTGCTTTTGTCTCACTCTATCAGGAACCTCTCCTCAAACAAATTTCTTTATGCTTTCCCCACCCAACACAATGTCAAAAACAGGACTTTAGGTATTTTCCCTTCAACGTGGCATTTCCTTAGGAACCTTTAGCACTGTAAAAAGCAGAGGGGCCCTGTTCGCCTAACCTAAGGGGATAAGGCTCTAACTTGCCATTCTGGTTCTTGGCAAGCTGCATCTAGTAAGATCTTTCGTAGGACGGTGGGCCTTCCCGATACCTCTCAACCCACATTCTGAGGTGGACATCCACTTTGCCTACTCCCGGTACTGACCTTACCATTTTATGCTGCTCCAACAAATAATGCAAGTCTTGGTGAGGCTTTGGATGGGCTTTAGCACTGTCCAGTAGAACTTTCTGTGGTGATGGCTTTTCTGTCATCCATGCTGTCCGAGAGCAGTATTCATTGGCTATTAAGGACTTTAAATGTGGCTGAAGTGACTGAAGATCTAACTTTTATTTTATTATATTTGAATTATTTTACATTTAAGGCAGCCACATGTTCCTAGTGGCTACTGTCTTGGATAGCTTAGGTCTAGTTAATGTTGATTCTAACATTAAATCTATATTAAACCCATTTTTAAGCCAACGTGGTCTTGGAGAAAGTAGATTTGGAAATTAAATTTGCTGTACGAATCATGTTTCAAGACGTGGATCTCTGGCTGGAGTCCAGGAGCCAGAGTTTGATATACTAGATAGTTGCAGAAGAAATCTAATAAAGTTGGAAGGGCCAACTTTATAGAAGTCTACTCATTCCTTTGAGAAACAAGGAGCCTCTTCAATACTTATTTTGAGCTAACCTGTGTCTAGAATGCCAATCGTCAGCATGTACATTTGAAATGCTTCCCGTGATCTAAATGTTTCAAAGTACTCAAATGATTGAAATGACATGGTCATTGTCCTTCAGGAGCTTACATTACAGAGAAAACATAAATATCGATGAAGCAATTAGAGACCAAGAGACGTGCAAAACTCACTTTTGCTGGCCGTGAACCCGGTAGGAATTCCTAGTCGGAAGACGTTACGGTAATCTGGTTTGGGTAGTCTATAAAACTTAGTGAAAAACACTGAAGCCAGGGCTTGAAAGATGGTTTTCAGTTGGATAAATAGAGAGGCAAGAAGGGGCATATTGGAGAGCATTTGGAAAGCAGGCTGGATATTTGAAGTTGGAAGGTTTGACCAGACAAAGGACCATGGGCTTCATATGATGGATTCAAAAAAACCATTGGCTGCTTTCACTCAAGGTAAAAGCATCAGGAAAGCAGTGTCATGGGAAAATCCTTCTGGCATCTTCCTGGATGGATAGCGGTGGTCAGAAATGAGTTGCGGAAAGTCCGTGGAGCCTCTTGTCGTAACTCAGGCAAGAGGTGTTGAGGAGATATAGAGGGTGGTGACAGTGAGAGCAGAAAGACGGGCCACGAAGCTGTTCCCACATCATTCCCAAATACAAATGGATCTGAAGATGAACAAGCCTGGATCCATATAGCCATATTTTATGTTTAAAAAGCACTCAGAGGTTATTTTCTTTGAAAGGAACGCTAGGACTATAGAATAGTTTCTTCACGTTTCTTTGTAAAACAAAAAAAACACAAAAACTAAAACTCTTCCCTAACACCTTGCTCATGCCTAATGTGATCTCAAAAGTTAACAACCGAACTACTGGTCAGTTTGCCAGTCGTTGAAATATATTTATGAACAGCACACAACTTACGTCATCAATGCTCATATTGACAAGGCAGTAATGACTATAGAAATCCAGATGGAAAAGCTGCTCACCTAGAAATTACAGTGCTCTTTCCAAGGCCTTCTGTCAAGGTCACCTTCAGTAATAAAAGCTAATACTTGTAGATTCTAAATAATAAACTTGTTGTGAATCTTAAAGTCCTATGAGTATAGGCCACCCCAGGCAGATTTATGTATAGGATCAACTATATCCAATTGCATTTTCCGAAAGCTTTACAATGTTATAAAAGCTGAGCTTTTGCTGTTAGTGTGGTGCTCACACCTTGGTGTTAGTGTCTTCACGTGACAGAATTTTAGAATTTGGATGACTCCAAGGGGTAGAAATATTTTAGTTCTCATTGAAGTGTTATATACATTATAGAGATTGAATGTTTAATATATATGTATTATTATGTCACGTTATTTTTCATATCAATTGTTATATATAATACAATAATCTTCTTGAGATTTCATTTTAAAGATAAATTTTCTAGTGTCTGCTTGTTCTCATCCCCAGTGGTAACATAAGTGATACAATTTCACTGATTTTGAGCACTTCCTACAGATATCTAATATATTAGACATAAAAAAATGGGTCTATAATTAGAAATTGATGTCTGAATATTATTATCCCAGTTTCACAATTGGAAAATGGAGGTTTATAGTGGTTAAGTGACTTGCTCAGTGGCTCAAGCCAGCTTCCTTGTCTGAAAAACAAGGAGCCTGAGTGGCTCAGTTGGTTAAGCATCCAACTCTTGCTCTAGGTTCAGGCCATGATCTCGCAGTTTGTGAGTTCAAGCCCCGCATCAGGCCTGCACTGGTGACACAGAGGCTCCTTGGGATTCTGTCTCTTCTCTCTGCCCTCTCCTGCTTGGGATATCTCTCTCTCTCTCTCAAAATAAATAAATAAACTTTTTAAAAAAAAACAAGGATAAAAATAGTCCTTACCTCATGGCATTAAATGAATATTTAAGAATTGCTTAGGCCAGGGGCGCCTGGGTGGCTTAGTCGGTTAAGCGTCTGACTTTCGCTTAGGTCATGATCTCGCGGTTCGTGGGTTCGAGCCCCATGTTGGGCTCTGTGCTGACTGCCAGCTCGGAGCCTGGAGCCTGTTTCAGAGTCTGTGACTCCCTCTCTCTCTGACCCTCCCCTGCTCACGCTGTCTCTCTCTCTCCTAGAAATAA